TTTCCATACCTAAGACCTTGTTCTCTGTATCTGAACCTGGGCTCTGACCCATCCCCAAATGCTCACCAAAATAAATGCTCCAAGTATTATCTCATCTCCTTAGAAACAGTGTAAATTGCTGTTGTCATTCCCTTTCACAGCTAAGGCAACCAAAAAGTTCAAAACCATATTCAAAGTCATCCAGTCAATAAGTGGTAAGGCTTGGGTTTGAACCCAGGCAGGGGTACATTGGTGGCCACGCTTTGAGCCCTGCCTGGCCATTGCTTTTGCTCTGCTGCTGTGGAATGTAGATGGTAGGTTTTGTTCAGCTTTGTGTCACATTACTTCTCTTAGCACACAGCAGACTGGAAGACTAACCACTTCATTCTTCCAAGGCCTCAGCATAGCAAGGCCATGAGTCATGGCCCTTACTCTGCTAAGCATTAACTTTTCCACTTGAGTGGGCATCACATGGTCTAAATGGCTTTCTTTTCTAAATGTCCCTCCTGGAGGAAGGAAAATGATGGGAAACATGAGGAGGCCAAGCCACCTCAGAAATGGTCCTCTAAGTGAGGTTTTCTGCAAACGTTAACAACTCCTCCATTCCTTCATCCAACAAATACATTTTTTTGAAACACCAGGCCTATGTGTGCTTCCAGCCCCCAGAGGTTCTAGTGGGAATGTGTCCATAGGTACTTGATATGGGAAAGATGACTTTAGCTGTCATTAGAGGGACCCAGAAAATGGAAATTCAGAGGGAAGAAAGGTAATTTTAAACCTGGGTACCAGGAATGACCTCACAGAGGAAGAAGAGGCTAAGCAGAGGTGGAATGAACAGGTGGGGTTGAAATGAAATGAAAAGCTCCCTCCAGGAAGTGGCAGTGGGGTGGGCTGGCTAACCACTGGGTGGGGAAGGATCAGTCAAATCTGGGGACACTGTACAGCCCAGTGAGCTGGAAGCAAGGATGTGAAAGAGGCAAAAGTCTGTGTGGGAAGGTTATGGTCACACTGTGAAGCCTTGGATTCTACACTAAGCTTCATGGGCTGATATGTCACTAAAGGAATGAGGATGCTAAAAATCAATCTTTAGGACTTCCAGAAGTTCATAATCCAACAAGGAAAACCGAGCAGCCCAACAACTCTCCCAACACATGATCCAGTTATGTGTTGAGAACAGAACACCTTAGTGAGTCCAAACAGAAGCTGTCTGACCACAGACCAGGTGGAGTTATGCACCTGGAACTTCCAGTAGATTCCAGGCTGGTCACATGAGGTGAAAGGCATTACCTTGTGGAGAGGTGGGCTCACTGACAGCCAGGCATTGCTGACATTTTCAGGCTTATTTCACTGGTCCTACCCAAGATCACAGAAGTAGGAGGAGGTCCTCTAAGCAGGTCTAGTCTGACTCCAAGATCTTATATTTAAACTGTGCCCCCTGACATCTCCCCAGCCAACAAGGAAAAAGGAAGTAGCTGGCATTAGCTCCTCCCTTTCTGGAGAAACCCAGCTGGATCTTTTCCAAGGAGGAGTTTCTGATTTGTATCAAAATGTGAATACACCGTATTTTATTGCAATCCTACTCCCAAAGTATAAACACGCCAGTTCAAAAAAAAAGTCTTTTCTTATCAGCAGTCACAGGCAGATATTTATTCTGTTCAGTGGATTCTGTGTCTTTTTTTCCCCCAAAGGTCAAAATTGCAGGCCCTCAATATAAGATTAAATTACCGGAAACGCCCTCTCCCTTCTCCCCATCACCTACGTGGGCTGGCTGCCACCTCTGCTTTTATTAAGATGACTGTTCCTTCCTATGGGAAGGAATTGAGAACTTTCATCCCAGAACAAAACAAATGACTCAAAAAGCAGAATCCTTTGGACCATGACTGAAGGCATTCTTAAGGACGTTTCCTGTTTTCTGATTAGTGGTGCCTGCCTCTGGCTCAACTCTGAAAAGGTCACCCTGCATCCCTTAATCCGTGTACCAGCCTTGGAGCCAGAGAACTGGATGCCCTGTCTTCACAGAATAACTCCTTTTCTGAGCACTGATCATACTGGGTCCAACCCTATGATGGTTAGCTTTAATTGTCCACTGGACACAACCTTGAATCACCTGGATTACTTAGAAAGAAGTCACAATGAGAGGCTGTCTACATTGGGTTGGTCTGTGCATGTCTGTGGGGGAATTGTATTATTTAAGTTCATTAATGTGGGAAGACCCAGCCCTCTGTGGGTGGCACTATTCCCTAGGCAAGGGGTCCTGAACCGTATGAGTAGAGAAACTGGGCTGAGCTGAGCACAAGCAAGCAGCATGCATGCATTCATTTCCTGATGCTCTTGACCTTGGATGTGATATGACCAGCTGCTTCAAGTTCCTGCTGCCTTGACTTCCCCACAATTATTGACTGTAGCCTGGGATTGTAATCTAAAATAAACACTTTCTCCTCTAAGTTGCTTTTTGTCAGGATATTTTATGACAGCATCAGAAATGAAGCTAGAACAGACCCTGTGGAAAAGGCCTGAGAGACTCTAGAACTCAGAAAACTGACTGACTTGTTCTGGAGGTGGACTTTAGGTTTTTTAGTCAGTTGACTTTGAATAGAGTAGACTAACTCTGTATTAGTTCCTTTTTGTTGCTGTGACAAGATACTCAACAAAAGCAACTAAAGGAAGGAAGGATTTACTTTGGCATAGGGTTAAAGACAGTCCATCATGGCTGGGAAGGCATGGCAGAGCTTGAAGCAGCGGGGCACATTGCTCCCACAGTCAGGAAGCAGAGATAATGCTAGAGCTCGGCTTGCTTTCTTCTTTTTATTTAGTCTGGGACTCCAGCCATGGAGTGGTGCTACCTACGGTTACTGTGAGTGTTCCTTCCTCAGTTAACCCAGTCTTGGAAGCCTGTCACAGATATACACAGAGGCTTATCTTTTAGGTGATTCTAGAGCCTGTCAAGCTGACAATACCATCACACCTGTCACCATGGAGGTGTGCCTCATCTAAACATACCAAGGCCTTAAGACTAAATCTGAAGTTTCCCAAAGAAGAAATTCTGCCTCAAGATTTAGCAGAAGCTCTGAACCTGAGTTTTCAGCCTTTCCCCCAACCTACAAAATTCAGACTTACAACAATACCAACTGTCACCATTTCCAGACTGCTAGCCTGGGTCAAACTTCATACCTGCCAATGCCTAGAATCACATGTGCCAACTGTCAGTTCCTTAAGGAAATACTTTCTCTGTCTCTGCCTGTTTGCCTCTCTGTGTCTATACACAAACACACACATGATTATATATCTCTATTGCCTTATTTTTTAATGGAGAACCCTAACTTATCTAAGCAGCAACAGTGGGCATTGTTAATAAGAACACCTACAATGTAACATGTTTTAAATACTTCCAAATATACAGTGTCTCATTGACCCTAACACTCCTGTAGGGAAATGTCTGGATTCCACCAGCTGTTCCTACTAGACTTTGCAGTTTTGAGCTGTTGTCTTAGAAAGATGGAGGACTCACTCACCCCACATTCACTGGTGACTTTAGATGAGATGATGGAGTCCAGTGGTACATGGGCCTTGCTTTCCCCAAGTCCTGAGTGGTTACATTGTTGTGTCTTTATGGTATGACCCAAGAAGTAGGAGTGTTGCTTTCAAGCCCTACTAAGTAGGCAAATTAGATCAACAAGATGTTGGGAGCTGGGGGTGTAGCCCAGTCGTAGAGTGCTTGCCTAGCATGCATGAGGATCCTGAGTTCCTTGAGGCCCTTGGTTTGATCCCTAGCACTTCATAAGCCAGGTGGAGTGGTACATGTGTGTAATCCCAGCATTCAGGAGGTAGAAGAAGGAGGATCAGAACTCAAATTCACCCTTGTCTTCAGAGTTAGTTTAAGGCCAGCTTGGGATACATGAGGATCCTACCTCAGAGAGAGAGAGAGAGAGAGAGAGAGAGAGAGAGAGAGAGAGAGAGAGAAAGACTTTCATCAGAAAATAATTATGGAGAGATAACTGGCTCAGCGGTTAAGAACACTTGATACTGGGGCTCAATTCCCAACATCTGCATGGTTGCTCACAACCACCTGTAATTCCAGTTCCAGGGGAACTGACACCTTCTTTTGGCCTCTGAGGGTACCAGGGACACACATGGGGCACATACATGTATGTAGGCAAACACACACATAAAATAAAAATAAATCTTAAAAAAAAAAAAAAAAAAACAGAAAAAGATTTCTAGGTTTGATCCTGCATCTAAACTTGTCCTCCCATTCAAAAGTTTCTGGGTCCTCAGGTCAAAGCCCCTTTCTTCTGAGAAATTAACAGATACATACAAATTCATTCCCTATTTTGCTAAAAATTATTAGAATCTCTGAAGCCTGTTCACATGGCTAACATTTACTAAGTGCTCAGAGCTAGTCACTATTACCGACATTTCCCGTGAATTATCTGACTTCACCTTAGAAATTCTAGGAGGTAAGTTCTGTGACGAAGACAAGACACAGCGAGGTCCATCAGTTTATCAGAGGTCACACAGCAAGCAAATGGTGGACTTGGAATTTCAACCTTGTAGTTAAAAACACAGTTTCCAAAGTTGGAGGATTAAGACAAGATATTGAGGAATATGATTCCTCAATAGCTCAGCAGTTACGAGCACATATTGCTTTTGCAGAGGGCCTGAGATGAATTCCCAGGACCTATATTGGGCAGCTCACAATCTCCAGTAACTCCAGTTCAGGGGATCTGACACCTCTGGCCTTCACAGACACCAACACTCAAGGGTACAGACCCCCACACAGACACACACACACAGACATACAATTTAAAATAATAAATATTTTTTAAAAAGCTCTTGGGTCTGGTTAAGAGCACCAATAGTTCTTGGAGAAGACCCAGGCTTGATTCCTAGCATCCACATGGCTGCTAACAACTGTCAATAACTCCAGTTCCAGGGGAATCCAATGCCCTCTTCTGACCTCTTCAGGCTTTGCATGACGCATGCAGGCAACACACTCATACAAATAAAAATAATCAGTAATCCCCTTTTTGAAAGCACTCAATGAGCTTTTTGCTAGTGACCCATTGAGCTGTCAAGAAGGGGCAAAGAAAAAACACCGCTTTTGGGTGAAGTAGCAATTTGTGTTGTTTTACTTCAATGGATGTTGTAGCAAGAAAAAAATAATAATTTACTGAGAATTTCATACAAACATATAAGAATATAAGGTGTTTTGATCAAATCCATGTCCACTCCCTCCCCTCCAACTCCTCCCATATCTCCCCATCACTTTTTTCTGATAACTTCATGTACTCCTCCTCCTTCTTTGATTGATTGATTGATTGATTGATTTGTTTATAGGCCTTTTGGCTACTCTAACATTCCCAACTCTAAAGAAGTAACCATAAAATCTTTTTAAGTATTAGATAAATCTCCCAAATATTTTCGATGTATTTGGCCTTTAGAATGG